ACATGATTATGAAGCGAGTTCAGGTGGGGCGCTATTGGTGCGTTGCATTGCCCGAGGGAGTGTCGAGTGTAGAGATGCCTGCTGTGTTGATCGAGGGCTGGTGCGTTCAAGTGGTCTTTTTGGCAGCCGCGATTATCTGGGCACACGCATGTGTGCGCGCCTGTTTGCGCGCGATGATGTCGGTCAAGGGTCTTCAGGTCAGCAAGTGGGAAACAGCCGCATGCGAAGACGTAAACGCAGCCAGTATTAGGAGGGGGACAGAATTGTTAGCTGCCACCACAACCCCAAAGAATGGAATAAAGCTTCTGTGATAACTAGTTTTCAATAAGGTTTAGGCGTATTTGACCATTCTGTAAACAAGAATTTGTCTAAAAACTCCTTTAACAATATAGGGTTGTCTCTGCCGATAGCAGCTCCTGGGTATTCAAAGCTAGTCGTTATACGACCGCCCGTGCGGGCTTTTCCCCTGGATCTCCAACTCTTATCTTATTATGCATTCGCGATGGATCGATAGCCGTTGTGACCGCGTGACTTCAATTTGCGGTATTTTAATGTGATAACGAGGACTCAATTCTATTCCCTCTGAGAGAAATCAAGTATACGTTTATTTTTGACTAAACTAAATAACGATGTCGCTATAATTTGAATATCAAAAAACTCTCAAAATCCTTTAGGGGTCCTTTTGCATTTGTTTCGAGGCAATTTGAGCATTGGCTGACTCTTCCGTGTGGCAGGGCGCACACTCGAGCAGATATACAGATGATTTCGGGACCAGAAAATTGACCGTTTCTGTATCGTTCTCTCTGAATAAAAGACGGCAAAGCGTTCTCTAGGACCATTAGTTCGTTTGTCCGGTGATTTGAACGCTCACGCATGTCCATTGTTCTCTCTGAAGATGCCAACATTCGTAAAGGGTCAAGCTACGCGATAAGTATTTCTCCATGTCTAGGGATATTCTTAAAGATTTAGTGGCATACAGGAGGCTGAATGGTAAAAAGTATTTTTTCCCGAAGTCGGTTGCATGTAATAAAAGTGAAGAAACCAGTTTTCCGCGTTTTGTAACAGAAACATTTTTCCCCAGCCCTGTTTCTTCGAAAGAGAAGCTTCTTGTGTTCATTGACATAAAATGCACTTCGGCATGAGACCTCCTCACAATTTATTTAACATAGGATTTTAGCGAGCGCGCTGTTGTTACTCACAGTGACAGTGGCCTCCATGATTTGTCACGCTCATATAACTCCCACAACATACTCAGAATCCAATCAAGGTCCGTGCTTTTTTGGAGGGGGGCTTGTACTCTCCCCTGGCCAGTGAATTTATGTACTATGACCGGGTCTAGGTCGATGCGTGTACATCTTTAGCCTGCTGATAATTTTTCCCCGGGAGAACTTGCTAAAAAAGATGCGTAAACTCACAAGTGATCATGCCAACTCTGATAGTAGCCCAACTACATCGACTAGAACGGAAAGTTAAACAAATGGACAACCTGTTGTTAGATGAAAAACGGAGTAAAAGAACTAGACGAGATCGCTGGTTAAAAAAAATTTATTCGCCTGGCGTTTAGGTTTTTTGTTCGAACCCATCAGCAGAGACAACAGCAGATCCGGCTAGTTCTTACAAAGAGAGCTATGGGATGCAGCCGCTACGTTTCTGCATGCATATAACAATTACGCACTCCCCCATTCGTCAGGGATGGCTGCCCTCTGATGCGATAATGACTTGGTGACCAGGCCATCATCATCACGCCAAGATCCGACACGGATGATTGAATGTCAGAGATCGACGACGCGAATGTCGGCCATCAAGCAATTATGGCACCCCAGCACAACCATTTCTGATAAACGGGGGAGCCATTGCTTTTCATAGGTATACAGAAACATGGTGGCTGCATCCTATAAATACTGCAGCCGCCTTCGTAAGGATTACTCCCAGCTGACAGCTGTATCTGCTGCGAATGTCCGCCATATGCTAGCAACGGGTTGGTGCAGGGACGATTATTTGCGCGTGAATTAATTGTAAGCGATAGTAGACTTGCGCTGCATTTAGCGCACTTTTTATTCCCCCACTCACCTCTTCCGGGATCAAGACAGAGTCAGGATGATCGGGAGTGGGGTCAGGCGCAGGTGGTGGGCACGGCCGAGGC